ACTCTGCCTGTGTTTCCTGGTTGCATAACTTAGAAGTGGGGAATGTCACATACTTCCCTTCTGTCATCTTCTACCTCCTCCTTCAGTTTGGTTTCATGGAATTCTGCATGTAACAAAGGGGACAAGAGTAATGAAGGTAATCTGATATTTAAGAAAAGATAAAGAAGAACTATACATGGAATCGTTAAGCTGGGTTTTAGTTTGTTCCCAATTTACAATGGAAAGTTTTATAATCTGGGCTAGTCGCTCCATCTCCCTGGTCCTCAGTTTTCCCATGTGTAAAATAAGGTGATAGGACTCTTGAGTCACGGTTTCTTAACCTGCAGTCCACACCTCAGCTACATGCACCTTCTAAAATTGAACACAAGAATCTTTTCTGGGGATGGAATCCATCATTTTTATCTGATTTGCAAGTGTCATCAACTGTTGTCCTAGATTATTTTTAAGGTCACTTCCTGATCTAGTATTTTATAATTGTCACAGGCAGAGAATCCCAGCAGATATGCTGTGGCATGGATCCCAGTGACAGAGACAGGCACAGAAATTATGCTTTCCTTATTCCTCTCTCGATGCTGAGCACCCATGACTCCTCACCTTCTCCCAGAGTCACTCTAGGGTCCACACACCCATATATAAAGGGCTACCTTCTCAGAAGAACAGAACCCTGTGTTCAGAACACAAGACATAACACCTTTGCCGTTATGAAATCATAAAAGAATTCTTGGATGTTCACAAACTACATTCGCCCAACTCCCACCACATCTTATTTTCATTAGCTTTGACTGAAAGGAAAACTCCTCCTGACACTATCAAAGGGAAGCTTTAGAGTGACTAAAGTCATATGCTGATTGTTAGAACCTTCTTAAAAGCATGATTTTGGCTGCCTTCTAAAAGTACAGAGGTTGATAAACAGCGCAGGAACGAAGGAAAAAAGGGGTGAGCAGAAGTAATAATAAAATGAGCTATTGAAAAGTTGTGACCATTAAAAAAAATCCAAACCAATACATTTGTCTGTAAAATGAACCCCTTGACACATCAGCATGTTCCCTCTAAGCTAAGTGAGAGATGAGCAGGCTCTGAGCCTCCTCCCTTCCTTGTTGACACAGAGATGGTGGGGGAAGCCAAGGGGAATTGCCTCTCTTGCACCCACATTTTGGAGCCCAGCTAACTCTTACCAAACAAGGGAGAAAATAGTCTTAGGGGGAACCATATAAAACTGCTGTCCTTGTAAATAAAAACAAATGGCCAAATATCAGCAATTTCATATGGTTCAACTATCCAGTATCTCCAAAGCAGGACATCCTAACCATTTGGGTAATGACAAGGTGTTCATGACTCATTGTTCTTTGGCAGAAGTGACTAAAATTCTGGAGAAAAAGATCAGAGATGGGTAATTCACTGTGAAATCAAGTTGGCCCATTCTTAATGATTAAAATAATGTCTTAAAAAGACAGAAATGTTCAAATTCAAAGACATCTTTTAAGCCAACCCAGAAAATAGAGTTATGCTTCTTACAGAATTCAATTTAACAAATCTCTGTTCAGAGCCTAATTTGCACAAAGCACAGACTGCTGAATATAAGAATATTTGCAGGGTTTCTTGAGATTAACCTGATAGCGAGGGAGAAATCCTTCAGTAAATGGGCAATAGCTAATGCCACAGGAATTATGTGCTAACAAAGAAAGGCATCTGGGTCATCAACACCATTTCTGAAATTGTTAAATCTTGACAGTAACCATCACAGCTTTGTTAGGAGCAGAAAATGTAAGGAGCATAAAGAGTGGCCTGACTTATTGTTAGTGTTACTGGACATGGTGCCTTCTAAAGAAAGCAATAATGCAGTAAAGAATGACTGTGGCTTTGTTATTTCTAGCTGCAGCTCCCCAGGGAAACTGGGCCATGGAGCCTGTGTTCTAGCATGGATGCCTGTAAAATTTACAGCCTCTGTGGGCAGGACCGGGGCTCCTGTTGGTTGACATTATTAGTAAGGACCATCTGTTTGTTCAGCTTTTTCCTGGGGGAGCCAGAAAGGGCTTGCTTCAGTTTCTTCTAATGAGTTGAAATTCCTAATAAGAGAAAGCTTTGTGGTTGCATCAAAATATTAAGAGAAGTAACATGCTGACATTTTGAAATTCACAACTTTCACCAATTTAAAAGCACACGTGTTATCACACTGTTTTAACATTTCTCTTCCTCGTATAATAATGAGGCTAATTGCACACTTGCCCATGCCCAAATGGTTTCAGAGAGGATCCAGGGTCTCCACTGGACCCTCAGTTATCAATGAATCCACAAGCATTACTGCTGCTAACAGCAGATGATAGATAGTAATGATAATAAACTTGTAATAATAAAGCCAGCTAAAATTTCATACCAAGAAAGAAAATTTAAGATATGATTCTTGCCATTTGGGTTGGAGAAAAAGAATTCATAATTTATTTTAAAAGTTACTAAATAACACAGAGATAAGATATTCTTCATAATTTCTAAATATGCTGTATGAACAATAAATGCCATAGGGCTAAAGAGAAAGGGAATCTCAGATGGAAACTGGAAGGGTCTGGAAAGCATTGAGGAGGCAGAGCTTTACCTGATGACTTCCTGTTTTGCTTCACTTTTCCACAATGAGAAAGATAAGGTAAGTTATACCCAGTAAAGAGCCAGTATCAAGAAGCAAAAAAAATGGCATGTTAGACAATGAGTATACAGCAGCTTGGCTGGAAATGAAGGGTCAAATTATTTTCTTGGAGGAGATAAAACCTAACTAACTCAAGTCTTAAGTCAGATGGTCTGAAATGCTGCTGGAGGTTATGTCACATCTCTTCTTGCAGTGAGCTAGTGAGAAAGACTGATGGTTTGTCAATCTTTTTCTCCATTAAGGTAACTGGCACTGAATCTGCCTTGATTTCTGCTCCTCTGAAAAGTAAGGGTGCACAAATGCCCAGAAAGGAAACCTAGTAGCAAATGGATATTAAATTCTGTAGCCATGTTAGAGAGAGAGACAGAGAGAGAGAGAGAGAGAGAGAGAGAGAGAGAGAGAGAGAGAGAGAGAGAGAGAGCGAGAGAGAGAGAGAGAGAGAAAGAGAGAGAGAGAGAGAGAAAGAAAAAGAGGAGGAAAGAAAGACAGAGAGAAAAAAGCAGGCTAAATTCATTCTTAATGCTTCTGACATGCAAAAACAAATCAGAAGACAACTTCGTCCAGTGCATTAAAAGACTCATCCAGGCCTTCTGGGCAATTCCCTGTGATTTGGGAACTCGGTAAGTGGCTTGATGAAGCTGACAGATGCTAGGAGTTTTTAAAATTTTCCAGAAGAGCAGCTAGAAATAGTACCTGGGATCTTGAATAGTCAGTGGAAATGCCAAGGAAAGCCCAGAAGCACAAGAATGAAAGGCAGCAAAAGAATTAACAAAGTTGATAATTTCAACCAAAGCTACCTGTGTCCTCATTTCAGAATCTGGGCTCATTAGGGGCATCTGGTGGAGGAAGCAGGATGGCAGGAAAGTAGAATAATCTTCTTCATAATCACTAAGATTTGTATAGCACTTTTCAAATTGTAAGGCACTTCCAAACATAGAATGTCATTTAAAATGCCCACGACTGAGTGAGATCAACAGGATGACTCTTACCCTCATTATAAATACATAGAAGCTGCCATGCATAAAGGACTGCCCTAAGTTACCTCTAGAGTAAGTTGTTGAATCATTATTCTGATCTCGGGTCCAATTGGTTCTTTGGCCACAGAATGATCTTCTCTACCTTAGAAGCACAACATAGTTAAAAGGTATAGGTAAAGAAAACCTTCTCTTATTTTGTGCTGATCCGAGATGTCTCTAAGTGTCTTGAAAACTTTATTACTAATTATAAAATGACATTTTCAGCCCATTATTCCACTGAGTGTTGTGGGTCACTCTGCCTTTCTCAAGCGGAGAGAATTAATGTCCTAAAACAATCTTTGTAAATCATGAATTAACATCTCTCCTGTACAGTGGGAGGCACTGGTTAGCTACCTTTCTTGAGAGACAATTGTTCCTCAAATAATTTTCTGTGTTTTGTAGATTGAATGAGGATCCCAGTAGTATATTTTATCTTTAAAGGAGGAATCCCTTGGGGACCAGAAGGCAGTATCATACTTTTTTCTAATGTGTGGTTAATGCAATAAAAGTAAGGATAATGATAACAACTATTATTATTGAGAAGTTACTATATGCCAAAAACTATAGTAAGTCCTTTATACACATTACTTGATCTAATTCTTTTTTTTTTTTTTTTTTTTTTTTGAGACAGAGTTTCACTCTTGTTACCCAGGCTGGAGTGCAATGGTGCAATCTCGGCTCACCTCAACCGCCACCTCCGGGGTTCAGGCAATTCTCCTGCCTCAGCCTCCTGAGTAGCTGGGATTACAGGCACGCCCCACCATGCCCAGCTAATTTTTTGTATTTTTAGTAGAGACGGGGTTTCACCATGTTGACCAGGATGGTCTCAATCTCTTGACCTCATGATCCACCCGCCTCGGCCTCCCAATCTCAAGTGCTGGGATTACAGGCTTGAGCCACCGTGCCCGGACTACTTGATTGAATTCTTACAACAAATTTGGGATTCAGGTGCTATTATTATTACCACTTTACAGATGACAAATTTGAAACTCGGAAACGTCAGATAACCTTGTAAAAAGTCATACATGGAATAATAAATAGAACTGAAATTAAATTGAGATCAGTTTCACTCCAAAACCATCCCCTTGCCCAAATTACTCTATCACCATAGACGGTGCACTTTACCATTTCCATTGCTGCACAAGGTGATTGCTTCTCCTCCATCCCTGCTTCAACCATTCCAGAGAAAGAGCAGTTGCGACTTCTGAGCAGGCCAATAAAAACAATGGTTAAGTAACATATTGGCCCCTGACATTTGAATCCGTGTTGAAACCTAAAATAAGTATAACATCATAAATCATGGAAGAATAAAACTTGAAATCTCCATTCATTCAATTAATACTCACTGAGAATCTGCTGTGTGCCAGATAACGTGATAGATGCCGAAGACAAAAAAATGAAAAGCCATAGTTCCTGCCTTTGGCCATTTACATTTGTAGAGGAGATACAGGACTGCAAGCAAACAATGGCAATACAGCTACCAAGTATAATAATGCAGTATGTACAAATTAAAGAGGGGACCCAGTGAAGAGAATGATCAACAATTTGGGCTTCCAGCAAGTCTTTCTAGAAAATGATGCTTGAGCTGGGTCTTAAAATAGGAATATGAGTTTGACAGATACAATTATGTGGGAGTGACACTCCAAGAAAAGAAGAATATTCAAAGGCATGGGATATAAAATCACATGAAGTGGAGACCTGCGAATAGTTCAACATCGCTGAAATTTAGGATGAGAAAATTTAGGTAGCAGAGACATTAGACTCACGGAGGACCTTGTAGGTCATTCAACGTGAGATGAGATGCCATTGAAATCAGAAGGGAGATTACCACAGTAGTTTGGGAAAGAGCGAACTAGGAACTGAACGAAGCAGCAGTACCAGAAGAAATGGGTAAAAGAGGAAAAGTAATAAGGAAACCAAATCAACATAAGTTAACTTAATGACTGAGTAGATCAGACAGTTTGGCAGGTAATAGCGGGTGAGGAATAGTCATGTGGATGATATCCAAGTTCTAGGTTTGATTGGGTGACTGAATGAGCAATTTGGGTGAAAAGATAAGATATTCAGTTGGGAATAGTTTGAGATAGTGGTATCTGTAGAACACCGCTAGTGCAGACCCCTAGATACATGGAGAGACTCAATATATCCTGTGGATTGTCAGATTGGGTCCTTGTGTACTCAGCCAAAACAGAAATCTTTCCATTCGTGGATCCATTTTCCTCATCATGAAAGATGTGGGCATTGTTTTTTGTTGTTGTTTGTTTGTTTTCCCCTTTTACAAATTTTATTTGGGACACTAGGGACAAGACGGAGCAGAGGTTTATGGTCTGCATGGTGGAGTTCAGCACTACTGGAAAATGAGGCGGTCCTTCTGACTTGGAGATCTCTCTTTTTCCATCTGGATGGAAGTCTTCCAGTGAGTCAATTTGCCTATAAGTGAAAACATGCAGTGTTTGGTTTTCTGTTTGTCAGTTTGCTGATAATGATGGTTTCCAGATTCATCCATGTCCCCATAAAGGACATGAATTCATCTCTTTTTATAGCTGCATAGTATTCCATGGTGCATATGTGCCACATTTTCTTCATCCAGTCTATCATTGATGGGCATTTGGATTGGTTCCAGGTCTTTGCTATTGTGAACAGTACCACAATGAACATACAAGTGCTTGTGGAAGGACGTGGACATTGTTAATTTATATTGCTTCTTTTATTTATTTATTTATTGCATTTTAGGTTTTGGGGTACATGTGAAGAACATGCAAGATTGTTGCATAGGTACACACATGGCAGTGTGATTTGCTGCCTTCCTCCCCGTCACCTATATCTGGCATTTCATTCTATCTTTCCCTAACTCCCCATCCCCCGCTGTCCCTTCCCTGTTTCCCCCGGACAGACCCCAGTGTGTGATGCTCCCCTACCTGTGTCCATGTGTTCTCATTGTTCAACACCCACCTATGAGTGAGAACGTGCTCGGCAACCAACAGAATGGGAAAAAATTTTTGCAGTCTACCCATCTGACAAAGGGCTGATACCCAGAATCTGCAAAGGACTAAAACAGATTTGCTTCTTTCTAAAAGATTGGAGGCTGCATGCAGTGGCTCACACTTGTAATCCCAGCATATTTGGGAGTTGAGACAGGCAGACTGCTTGAGTCCAGGAGTCTAAGAACAGCCTGGGCAACATGGTGAAACCCTGTCTCCTCAAAAAATATAAAAATTAGCTGGGCATAGTAGTGTGAGCCTATAGTCCTAGCTACTTGGGAGGCTGAAGTGGGAGGATGGCTTGAGCCCAGGAGGTGGAGATCTCAGTGAGCTGAGACCATGCCACAGGTACTCCAGCCTAGGCAATAGACAACAAAGCCAGACCCCAGGAAAAAGAAAAACAAAAATTAGAATGAAGGAAAGAGAAAGAAAGAGAGAGAGAGAAAAAAAAAGAAAGAGAGAGAGAGGGGGAGAGAGGGAAGGAAGGAAGGAAAGAAGGAAAGAATGAATTGGAGCTGTTTTTATCCCAAATTTATTTATATGCATGCAAATAAGCATGCATAGGAATTCTCTAACCCTTTTTTTCATGGAGATTCTAGTCTTCAGCTTTGATTTCCTACCAATCAACCATTTTATTATTCTATTTTATTTTATTTTATTTTTGAGATGGGGTCTCACTCTGTCACTGAGGCTGGAGTGCAGTGGTGTGATCTCAGGTAACTGCAACCTCCACTTCCTGGGCTCAAGTGATTCTCCCACCTCAGCCTCCCAAGTAACTGGGATTACAGGTGCTCACCATCACACCCAGCTAATTTTTCTATTTTTAGTGGAGACAAGGTTTCACCATGTTGGCAAGGCTGGTCTTGAACACCTGATCTCAAGTGATTTACCCACCTTGCCATCCCAAAGTTTTGGGATTATAGGTGTGAGTCACCATGCCTGGCCCCAATCAACCATTTCTTATACAAATATAGAAAGGATCATATGGAACAATGACCAGCTTATATATAAGAAACTCTTTACTTTTGTCACTTCATAAAAATTAAGTGGAACCTGGGGGAAAAGGTAAGGGTTATGGTAGTGTACCTTGCTTATCATGAAGAAAAAACAAATGAGTTCTCAAATAACAGATATTAAGAGACTTTTTTTGTATATAAAAACTTGAAAATTTTTTAAATGTTTAATTGGGTATCAGATCCACCATGATTATAAGTGTTACCATAAAAATCTTGAAAAACCAAAATACATTCATATTAATGTTTTCTCCTCATAATTGCCTGGAGTTGCAAATAAAGGATCCCCACAAAATGATAAGAGGGGGAAAATTCCTTCTATTTTAAAGACTGAAGAGTGAAAGTAGGGAGGAAATGAACTGATATGTCTCATGTGTGTCTAAGCAAGCAAGAAAGGCTAAGAGAGAATTGTTAAAGGACATTCTCATTATGATTAGGATAAAGGCCAGTTCAGCTCAGCAGTCACATCTGGCTTCTAGTGATATCATTCTACATAATGGAAATAATAAGTTAAGATAGTAAGATTGTTGGAGTCTCTCGTGAATATTAGACGTATTTCCTCAGTGAGTCAGACTTAGAATGTCAGAGAGATCAATTTATGTGATTACAATTAATAAGGTAATTAAGAAATAGAGACAGCCTAAGAGGATATTGCCTGATAATTAATAACCAGATGGAAAGGATAAGGGTCCTAGGGAACAGTGAATTTAATAAAGATCAGCTTGGAGAATTTCTATCAATAAGATATGGGCTATTTTTTAAAGCAGTCAGGGTTAGTATCTGAAGGCCATCTGCTAAAAAAATAAAGCTTTAATTAACAGGATTTGGGGAACTTCATGTGCTATAACATTTTAGAGAGGCCAAAGAAAGAAGGTCAGAAATACGTAGGGGAAGGTAAAGGAGAACAGCACTGTTCATGAAAAAGAGCATGTGGTCTAGAGGGGAAGAGCCTGGTTCTACCTCCACCTCTGCTGGAGATAATCTGTGTAAACCCAGAAGAAAGAACTTCTCCTCAGGGCTCCCATTTCTTCATTTATAAAATGAGATGACTGAACTGTGTAGCCTCCGTGGCTCCCTATAGCTCTGAAATTTGAATTATAAACACAGTTCCTTAATATGACGTCCCTTAAAAACCAAAAATGAATACATAGGCCAGAACAGTAAATGGTCATTATCGGCTGTTGGTGTTGACTAGATATCAACAAGCACGGAAGCCCCTGAATTTAAAGAAAAAAAAAATAGAGAAGGAATTGTCCCATTTTCTTCCTTCCTTTCTTTTCTTTTCTTTTTTTTTTTTTTTGAGATGGAATTTTGCTCTTTCGCCTAGGCTGGAGTGCAGTGGTGCAATCTCAGCTCACTGCAACCTCCATCTTCTGATTTCAAGTGATTCTCCTGCCTCAGCCTCCCAAGTAGCTGGAATTACAGGTGCCTGCCACCATGCCTGGCTAATTTCTCTATTTTTTAGTAGAGACGGGGGTTTCACCATGTTGACTAGGCTGGTCTCAGAATCCTGACCTTGTGATCTACCCACCTCCGGCTCCCAAAGTGTTCGGATTACAGGTGTGAGCCACTGTGCCTGCCCCATTTCCTTAAGTCATGAACCTGAACATAAAAATGAAAAATAAAGCGAGGACTATTGTTTACTTTTCTTTGCAGCTCCTGATACTTGTAAACAGATAATTTACAGTTACAGGAGGTCTAGCTACAACTGTTGACAAAATACCCCTTGTCATAAGAAACAACATAAAGCATTCACCTCAAAGTACAATCCCCTCAGTGACAATGTTCTCTGGAAACCAAAGCTTAAAAATCCCTGTAACTTGTTAAACTAGGAAGTGTCCTTACTAATCAGACACTCTGGTGGTTAGGTAAAAACATCTTTGAAGAAGGCAGCAAATATCTTATATACACAGAGGCACATGACAGAACAGATAGCTGCTTGCTGCGACCTCAATTTACCTCCCACTTCTCCAAAATGCTTCAACAACTGAACAGCGACTTTATTCTAGGCTGAAGTTTATACAAATGGCACTGAAGGGTCAGAGCAGAAAGTTGCAAAAGTCAATTTTCCTCAGACCAAAAAGCAAGGTAGGCAGGTTAAGCAGGGAGGGGACAAAAGCCCTCATCCCACTGTACACTCACCAAAACAAAACAAAAGCAATGTATGGGAAGAATAATGGCAGAAGTCAGGGAAGAGTCCCTTTCTCCTCCTTATAAGCCCACCATACTGAAAGAATACAACTGAGGGTAAGAAAGCAGCCACCTCTGGTTTCCACCATCATCAGTGTAGTAGTGGAGTTGGGGGAAAGCATTTTATGAAATCCAGTAATTTTCTGATATGTTGAGGCAACGTGGGGTTATTTAGAACTTGAGTGTAAAGATATCAGAAGCTGAGGCAGGAAAACATGCCACTGAGAGAAACAAAAAAGTCAAACGATGGTATTTTTCAAAGTTTCTTCCTGCTACAGATCAAAAATATCACCCCTGCCCCCTTGTTCTCCTCTGGGCCAGAAGCTGCTACACATTAGGTGGATGGGAAGGCCTGAAACATCTAATTGCTGGGCCCTTCCCAAGGGTCTTAGATGGCATGTTCTCTCTTCCCCACAAGCACCCAGGCATCAGAAAAGCTGAGTAAGAATGAACAGTAAGGTCAGTTTTCAAAGGGGAAACTTTGTCAAGCAGATTTAAACAGATAAGGGCTGTGGCCCCCCCAGTTGCAGAAGGATGAAGGGCAGGCTGTGAGGTGGGAGGTAAAGCTCATTGTTGGTGTCCCGCAAATAACCATAGCACTTCCAGCACTTCTGGCAAAGCTATCTCTTCTCCTGGACTCATTACACAGCTTACCAGCCTCTAGCACCCTCAGGGCCAACCTGCAGCCTCCCAAAATGTAGCTGAGGAATTACACTTGTATCCTTGTTTCCCAAGTCGAGCAGTGATATAAATTCCAAGAGTAGACCACCAAATTAAAGAAGGCACTCCAGATAAAATAGACTCCCTTCTATGGGTCCTGCACACCAAAGGGAACCCATTCTTTCAGGCCACAAAGAGTGGAAAAATTATTTTGGCAGCAGATGGTTTGAAAGCACTGTAGTTTGTGATTAATCATTTAAATCCCATGTTTTTAACCTAAGTCATCCAGACAGGTAATCAGTGAATAAAGCACTTGCTGTTGGGTTTGTTTTGTTTTGTTTTTTAACAAAGCAGTTTATTTGGAGCAGAGTGGTACCATAGTATGGCAGTATACAGAAATAATAACAACAGGCCTGAAGTCACCTAGAAGAGCAGCCATGATAAATATAGTTAAATATACACACCAGGGCATCTGTGTGTCATGCTTACATTTTTCTTTATAGCTCAAACCGTTTATGATGTGCAAAGAGTAAAGAGCTAGGAATTCAAGTCTAGCTTCCAGTTCAAGCTCTGTCACTAGCCAGTTATGTGACCTTGGGCAATCCACCTCCTTGGGACTCAGTTTTCTTACCTATAAAATGAGGACACTGGTGACTTGTAAAATTCCTTCAAGTGCCAATTAATGGCCCAATGATCTTGGACCATGATTATAAGAAAGCTCATTTAGAAGGAAAGAACATTCCAGTCTGGTCAGAAACTTCAAGACAACCATCCCGACACACTTTGAGCCTAAGAAGGCAGCAATATTAATGTGTAAGAATATGCAATACTGTTTTATGAGTTTGCAGGCTCTAACACAGTGGTTATCAACCGGAAGCCACTCCCACTGCCTCAGGCAGGAGACACTAGTCAATGTCTGGAGACAGTTTTGGTTGTCACAATTGGAGTGGGGTTGGAGTGTAAGAGGCTGAGGAGTGAGAGGATGTTACCAGCATCTAGAGAGTGGAGGCCAGGGCTGCTGTTAAACATTCTGTAATGCACCGGACAGCCTCCACCACAAAGAATTATCTGGCCCCAAATGTCACTAGGAACTAGGTGGAGCTCTGTGAATACAATGTCTAGGCAGATGGCTGAGTAATGAAACAGGCAGGTAACGAGGAGAGATAACCACTCTCACCTTTATCAGACTGTACCCATGTAAGGATGAGGGCCTGCTGCTGCAATCCTCCAGTTCCTCCTAAGTCATCTATCTAGTTTTTATAGGAACAAATCTGACTTTTGAATCATGGTGACGACTAACCAAATCTTTCAACATACTAAATTTCTGAGGGGAGGGGAACTGTCAGATTCAGACTATAGGCTGCCCATATGCCACCTTTGTTTTAAATCTTAGATGGCAGACAACCAACTGCATCCCCCTAGCCTTCAAGAGAAGTTGTTCAAAGGAAACATGGCCACTGGAACTATTCTGCAATTCTTTTTTTTTTTTTTTTCTTTTTTGAGACAGTGTTTCTCTCATTTCCTAGGCTGGAGCACAATGGTGTGATCTTGGCTCACCACAACCTCCACCTACCAGGTTCAAGCGATTTGTTTCAGCCTCCCGAGTAGCCGGGATTACAGGCACATGCCAACATGCCTGGCTAATTTCTGTATTTTAAGTAGAGAAGGGTTTCATCATATTGGTCAGGCTGGTCTCAACCTCCTGACCTCAGGTGATCTGCCCGCCTTGGCCTCCAAAAGTGCTGGGATTACATAAGGTTAAATAGAGTTTTTCAGGGGAAAGGGACTATCTAGTTCCACAGCTAGAAAAAACATGCAGTGAGTGGTGGGGAGCAACAAATTAAATGAGTTTTTCTTATTCAGCCTTTATTCAGGTTTTGTTTATGTTAATTCCAACTGATTTTCTCTTACTCTAAATTGGATTTAATCCAGGAGCCCCAAGTCTGCTCAGAGGAGATAAAGTAAAAGCCGACCAGGCACAGCAGCTCATGCCTGTACTCCTAGCACTTTGGGAGGTGGAGGCAGGTGGATCACCTGAGGCCAGGAGTTTGAGACCAGTCTAGTCAACATGGTGAAACCCTGTCTCTATAATACAAAAAATAACCGGACGTGGTGGTGGGCACCTGTAATCCCAGCTACTCAGGAGGCTGATGCAAAAGAACTGGTTGAACCAGGGAGGCGGAGGTTGCAGGGAGCCAAGATCACACCATTGCACTCCAGCCTGTGCAAAAAAGAGGAAAACTGCATCTCAAAAAAAACAAAAAAACAAAAAAAAAAAAACCAAAAGCCTTTCCAAAAGAGGCCATAGCCTTTTTAATAAGCCGTCCTCAGCCTCAGCTCCTTTGAATGCTCTAACTTTCTTAGGAGGAGGAGTAACTGAAGAGCCCTCATGTTTCACCAGGGCATGAAATTTGACGGCTTCAGAAATTTTTTTTTTTTTTAGTAGAGGGACATGGGGCATGGGGAAGAGGATCTCTGTTATAAGGAGCCTGGTTAGTTATGAAGAGGTGTCAACACCTTTCCTCGCCACTTCCTTTTGGGATCTCTGCTGTGCTTGGTGGTTAGGAAAGGTGTTGACACCTCTTCATATCTAGCCAGGCTCCTTGTTGGTATCATAAAGTAAAAACCACACAGTTGGCCCGGGGCTTTTCACTGCTCATTGATGGAACTTTTGTCTGGCTTTTTTCTAGCTTTGGACACCTGACTTGGACAGCAGACACTTTGAGCACCAGGCATGGAGTTTCTTAAATGACTAAATAGCGATGCAGTTTTCTATTGCCTAATATCATCTGGAAAGTTCTGGAACCCAAAGGTGAGATTGCTTACTGATAACTTTGCAGAGAAGGTAACAATACGTCATGGTTTCTAAAGCACTTTCAGTTCATCTCATATTGTTTTCACAACAATTGTGACTGTGATACACAGAACACTCCTGTGAAGTCTGTAGGATTGATCTTATTATATACATTTTATTGATAGTGCAGCTAACCTATATAACAACCCATGGGGAAGGTAGTGTAGCACAGATTATGGAGCAGATTGCGTGGGTTCAAATCCCTGGGTTCAAAGTTGTTTCTTACCAACTGTACAAGCTTGGACAAGTTTCTTTATTTTTCTGTGTTTCATTTTCATCACCTGCAAAATGAGAATAACAACATTTACCTGATATGGTTTGGATGTGAGCCCCTTCCCAGTCTCACATTGAAATGTGATCCCCAGTGTTGGAGGTGGAGCTTGTGGGAGGTGTTTTGATCATGGAGGCAGATTCCTTGTAAATGGCTTGGTGCTATCCTTGAAGTAATGAGTAATTTCTCACTCTGTTAGTTCACATGAGAGTTAGTTGTTTAAAAGAGCCTGGCATCTCTCTTGCCATGTGACATACCTGCTTCCCCTTCACTTTCTGCCATGATTATAAGCTTCCTGAGGCCTCGTAAGAAGTCGAGCAGATGCTGGTGCTATGCTTCTACAGCCTGCAGAACCATGAGCCAAATAAACATATAAACATATTTTCTTTATAAATTACCCAGTCTTCGGTATCTATAGTAATGCAAAATGTACTAACACATTACTGGTAGGGTTGTTATGAGTCTTAAAAGAGTAAATATATGTGTAAAGCACTTAGTAAATGGCCAGGCACAAAGTAAACACTGTAGCATTAAGTACTAATGTCATTTTCAAGAAGAGGAAATCAAACTACTGATACCTTTGGCAGTCTGACAGCCGGGAACAGACTCAACCATTTTACTGTTCCTCAATGAAGAAATCAAGAAGCAAAGTGCAGAGTGATATGTCCGTTGGCCATCATGCAACGGTGGTATTGAGAATCTGAAACCTTGGTCCCTTGACTTCGGATGCAGTGTCTTTCCATCTCACCATGTGCCTTGGTTATGATAGCACGTCTGAGAGAACAAGCAATGAAGCAAAGAATGTATGCAACCGAGCAACTCATTATATCTTACTTTGAACAGTACCAAGAAAGTCTTCAGGAAGTGCTGAGGTATATGAAGACTATGTCCCTTCGGAACCAAAAGCTGTGAGAGCAAGAATAAAATTAATCAGTCCAGAAATACAGTTCCTGAAAACATGTGGAGCTATTACCATTATCTCTGAAATGTGTGTGCCAACAGATGGGCAAAAAGCACTCACTTTCCATAGAAAGTTATTTGTGTTCAGTTAAACATACCAAGCTGAGCTGGAAGTGAAAATAATTGCCTCCTCCAGCCCTAGAGAGTTTCAAATATACAGCAACTTGCTGGGTGTCCAGAAATTGATCACTTCATCATCAAACAATCCAGCCAGGGAAGCAATTGCTCCAGCAGGAAGGTTAACAGGCAAGAAAATGAATCAGTGTCTTATGGTTACAAATATGTTTTTGCTGCTCTCACTAAAAATTGCTGTAATTTTTTTTAAAGTTTGGATGCCTAGATATTTTACTGCTGAGGCTATCAAGCCATTGAGCTATTGTTACAACTCACCACGCCATGATAGCATTATCATGGCTGTTTCTCTGTTGTTATGTGGTCAGCATTATGGATTGGGAATAAATTTGAGCTATTTGCTGATCTGCTTTCCAGCATGCGGTATTATTGCCTCTGAAGGAGCATTAGCTTTGTAGGCTGTGGATGTATACTGAGAATAATATCAGGGTGTGGATATTACCAAACCTTTATATGTTCACTTTGTTTCCTAATAAAACACTCCTAAGATCTTCCACCTAGGTTAGGCTAAGCATTGAGCCTATTAATATACTAAAATGCGAAGTCAGGGCTTCTCTGGTTGTTGCTGCATGCAACAGGATGTGACAGTTTTTAAAAGTGGCTTGTTAAAAAGCTTTGCACTTCCTTGGAAGAAGGGTTCATGTAATATGACTAAATAATTATTATGATCATCATACATATTTATTAGATAAAATTATTTTTCAAGTATATACAGAAAAAAATACACTAGGCTTTTATTCTAAAATAGGATGACACTTTTTTTTTGAGATGAAGTCTCACTGTGTTGCCCAGGCTTGAGTGCAGGTGGCACAATCTCAGCTCACTGCAACCTTTGCCTCCTGGGCTCAAGCGATTCTCCTGCCTCAGCCTCCCTAGTTGTTGGGACCACAGGTGTGCATCACCATGCCTGGCTAACTTTTTATTTTACCTTATTTTTATTTTTGGTAGAGATAGAGTTTCACCATGTTGCTCAGGCTGGTCTTGAACTCTTGAGTTCAAGTGATCCATCTGCCTCAGCCTCCCAAAGGGCTAGGATTACCGGTGTGAGCCACCACGCTGGGCCAGGATGACAACTTTATAATGTAGATGTGCCTTGCTTTAAATAAACCAGCAGCTTTCTGAAATGTCAAATGTGTGTGGCAACATTCAAGCTGTACATGTTTCTCCCTGGGTATATGTTATCAAAGTAGTGTCTTTTATACAGAGGCCTTGCTCACTCAAAGCTAGTCTCTCTTTAGGTACTAAGAACATAACTAGATAATCTTTTGAGGCCATCCATTTCCAGTACTTCTCATTCAACATTATCTACAGAGAGATCTTATGTGTAATATTCAGAAAACAAAAGACCTAATTTGAGAAGAGCCAAAGTAAAACTAGAAACAGATTTACTTGGCAATTAAGTCAGATAAATATCAGTAATTACAGCACATATAACCCAGGTGTGGTCTTATTTAATCTTTCCTCTCAAAGGAATTAGTATAGTCTTTTGATCCCTGAGTAGCTTAGGTCGCAGTCCTGGTCTTACATCATTCTCCTTTGGGATTCCTGATGACACTCCCTGTGAGGGTTCTCAGATTCTTGCTGCATTCTCTCAGGGATCGCCCTCTACCTTCAGAAAGTTTCTTTGCTACAGCATGCTCAGTTGTTGGTGCTTTCAACCCTGACTTCTTGCTGTCTTCCGCACATTTAAGCAGAGCTTTATCTGATGCTGACAGTTTTGCTGTGTTCCCCATAGTCATATTCTCTGCATCTAGTCCCAGGTTTGCACATCTTCTTGTCGTTCACCTGCCTCTTAGGTTAGGTCTCAGACATACCTCACAATGTTTCTCTGCTTGGTTACAGAACATCTCCTGGCATCTGGGGAGTTTAGGGCGAGAAGACAGAGAAGATGTGACTCTGGACTCCTAGCTATGCTTCAGCTCAGGCAGCTTGACTTTGAGCTCTATTATGTATTGCATTCTGGGTAAGATTTCTTTCTAAGCAAGATTTACTTGGCAAACAAACAAATAGAGAAGTTTAGTTGCTAAAACAATGGCAAGTACTTCTTTCTTAAGTCACCATGTGATCAGGGAACGTTGTGTTTATATTCACTGTTCTGGTTACCTATTACAGTTACAAAGCCCCCATACAAAATTTGGCAGCTTAAACAGACAATCATTTTATTATATCTCCAGATATCATGGGTCAGAAATTCAGAGAAGGGTCAGGCTCAGCTGGGTGGGTTTTTTTTTTTTCTTTTTCTGTGTGGCTTGAAGGAACTCACTTGAGGGTGTTCAACTCTTAGGTGGGTCTGAATGGTCCACAACAGCTTCTTTCTCATGTCACTTGACGGTGACAGCAGGAAGTCGGCCCTCAGCTGGGTCTGTCAACCCAAAGTGCCTGCATGTGGCTACTCCAGCATGGCAGTCTCAGGGAAGGTGGACTTTTCACAAGGAGGCTCAGAGATCTCGATACTAGTGTTCTAAGAAACAGGAAGTGAAAACTTACAGATTTTTAGGGCCTGGGCTCAGAAACTGGCACAGTGTCACTTCTGCTATTATTCTGTTGGTCAAAGCAGTTACAGAGCCCGTCCACATCCAAAGGGAAGTGAATAGACCTCTAGTAAAAATAGTAGCAAAGAATTTGTGGCCATCTTTAATCTACCATAGTTACAGACCTTTAAATCCTGCCGTCTTTGACCCAAAGGACCATATGGTCAGTGACTTCACCCCTCCAACTTCTCTTTCTGATCTCAGTTCACTTTCTGGTCTTGCACTCTACTCTGGCAAAGATTATCATGCTGCTGAGTCAAAGTATATGGACTGGTCTAAGGAATCATGGCATCACATTGTTCATTATATATTTCTGAACCGACTTCCAAGAGTACTGTCTGTATTCCCTATTAGTTCTTCCATTATGTGAAGTGTGGAGGTTTCACTTTGGCTAGGGTTGTCATATAAAAGAAGGGGCATGCAGTTAAACTTGAACTTAAGATAAACAACAAACTTTTTTATTATTACAAGAATGTCTCAAATATTGCATGGGACATACTCATGCTAAACAATTGTTTAATCCCACAGCCCTAATATTTTGCTGATATGATTAAAGTACTTACTTATATATAAACCACAGTTTAACAATGGAGACAAGAGCCATGGAATTATTTGAATTCTTTGACTTTTCTTTCCCATTACATGTGGTTTATAATCATACTGATTACGTGAGGGTGAGAGAAATCCAATTCTGAGATCAGTCAAATCTTATGACCACCACTTTGCCTAAATATATTAATATATAAATGGCTTTTACTAAACATACTTTCTTGTTTAGCAAATGCTTCTATCATTCATTTTTGAAGTTAAAGAAAACCTCTGCATTTACATGTAGCTATACTGCAAATTTAAAGGGTCAGTCAAGAGTATTTATTGAGTGTGTACTTTATGTTAAGTCAGTAACAATCAGAATGTACTTCTTGGCTGGGAGGAGTTCAGGGTCTAGGAAGGATAAAGAAATGTGAACAGATTATCATAGAGCAATATAATAGGTCTTAAAATAAAACAAGAAAAGAGTTCAGCAGGTATGACTAAAAAGACTTAGGGAATTTGACATAAAGAGGAGGTAATATTTGGTCTGGTCTTGAAGAACAAGTAAGAATTAGGCAGAAAAGAAAGCCAAAGTCATTCTCAGCAGAAAACAACAACAAATAAACAAATGAACAGTCATGAAGGATCCTGCCATGTTCGTGTAGCAGAGAAGGCTCTTGGTGTAGTCAAAGCTGGAGAAGAGGCACTGGAGCCCTATTTGCTCAGCTTCACTTATCCTACAAATAGATTAAAAGGATGAGGTTCCTAATTCAACCCAACATTTTGCCACAGCAAGAGGAAGACTAACAAAAGCAAGTGATCACAATAAAGGCAAGAGAAAAGATGCCCAACTTTAGCAAGGATGAAAAGTAAATTGGTGTTGTAGCTCTCACAACTTTAATTCTCCTCTCACTATGACAAAAGTCAATTTTCTACATGTGACTGGCTTGGAAGATTGCAGGCAATAATTTACAAATTTTCAGTTTTAGAGATAATCAGCAAAATATTTCTCTAACCCACTATTTGATAAAGGAGCAAAAACCCTTCTAATGATTCAATTAGCAATCCTGTGATACCAAGCCCCCAAGCAAGCTCGAAAGCAGATTCCTGTGCCTACAAAAGCCGTGTATGCTTGGGTACTGCATACCTGTGGTTTAGGATTAATGATAGCTCAGCGGTCCAACATGTACAGGAAAACATGGTGAAGAGCCAATGCTCAATGATAACAAAACAGAAGAAATGTCTTTTTGATGTCTGCTAGACCTGCAACTATTTGATGTTTTTTTCATAATTGATTTTACAAACCGAAATTGTTGTATCTGTATAGCAATAAAAAAGAAAAGAACTACAGATACACACAACAGCATGGATGAATCTAAGAAGCATTATGCTAAGAGAAAGAAGCCAGACTCAGAAGAATACATATTGGATGATTCAATTTATATGATATTTGGGGGAAAAAAAAACAACTTCAGAACAGAAATTTGATCAGTGGTTGCCAGTATCTGGAAGTGGAGGAGGCAGATTGACTCCTACAAAGGATGATGAGGGAATACATCCACATTTTGACTTTAGTGATTGTTATAGAACTGTATAAATTTGTCAAAATTCATTGAATTGAACATACAGAGTGAATTTTATTGTATATAAATTATATCTCAAAACAAAATAAACATTTATGTCTAAGACAGAAAAAAACTTGAAGAAACCATTATCTTGATTTTTTGTTTAATTTTGGTTTAACCATTTTCA